ATTTGTCCTGTAAATTTTTTTTATAGTTTTTGTAAGGAAAGATTCAATAAACTGCATTAAAGTGTTTACCAAGATGAGTAGCTGAGATAGTAATACTAAATTCTTTATTATATTTTTTTCATTTCGTTTATTAATATAACCACATTGTATCTAACCTCCTTATTTTCTTTATTCTTTTTCATATAGTCTCAAACCCAACTAATCTTTGCTGATTTTGTATTAGATTTAACCACATTATTTGTTAATATCTTAATGTTTAGAGGTTTTAATGATTAATCAAGAGTAGTCTGTCTATTTTTATTTAGATGTGACTTATTTAAATTTTCAGGCTGCTTTTAAGATTTACTGTAAAATGGATAGTGTGGTTGAGCGGGCAAAGATATTAAATCATAGGATTCTTGGCTTGAGATTTTATTAATTTTATCATCACTTTCATCTACAAAGTCTTGTGTTGATTGTTTAAGTATTTTTTTAGGTTGGTTTTCAGACAACTTAGCATCATCTACGTTCAAAGATTCAAAAGTATTGTGTTTTTGATTTTTTTCTTTTTTTTTGAGAACGAGTATTATACTTTTTCATGAACATAGTATTTTTTTTTTGGTCTTAACTGATAGTTGAAACCTTAACAAATTTGAATCTTGAAATAAAAAAGAGTTACGATTTTTATATTAATTTTTTATTTATTTAATTTTATAAAAGCTTTGAGAATTAAATTCCAGTTTTTATTATTATTTAAAGGTTTTTTTTTTTTTTTTGAAGGCAACTTAATTTAAGGATATGATTTTTGATCGAAATTCAATAAAAAAAATATAGCACACGATGTAAAATTTTAAGAAATAGAATTGGAGAATTTTATAGGTAAGCACATGAAGATTTTGCAAAATCATTAATGACCAAAAATTAATATTTTTATTAATTTGCATGCTTTTATAAATTCATAAAACCTTCTATTGCATTCTATCTCATCTATTTTAATTCAATAAATCATTAAAAAATTTTACACGCAATAGAGGCTTGGGACTTGAATAGAAAGTATTGATCTATATTTTCTGATTTTAATTATTTTATCTGATTTTATTTGGCTTCTTTCTTTCTTTTGTGTATGAATTTGAAGATCATAGAGATTTATTTTAGATCTTCTTCGCACAGCCTTTGGTGTAGAATTACCAATTTTGGCATTATTATTTTCGTTGTGTTTAGAATCTAACACATGACTATGAATTTCATGACCTTATTTTTTGGGTTAGTGCCATTTAATCCAATTGACACCGGGGAAGGTCATGTGTTGTATGTGAAAAAGCTAGTCATATAAGGTGAGTGTATATGCAATTAAAAAAAAAAGCGAAAATACTAATTAGAGATGTGTCCACATGTATTCTCATATAAATGATCTAATAAGTTACTATAAATAAAAGTAAACAGTTAGAAATAAAAAATATTAACGTTAATCGCTAAAAAAAAT